TCTTATTATATATTTTCAAATAATATAAGCTCAAGTTTATTTTAAGCATACTGAATAGCAGCTTAAGCATAGCTTTCACTTGCTAAATATATTTTTGATCTTGATGAATAAAGTTCTAGTTATAAACATAATTCACACATAAACGTCATAATATATATATATGTACCACGGTAACCCGTTTGCTGCCTGTTGTGCCTTCAAGCGCTCTCTCGCTCTGGCTTGGCCTTCTCTTCTATTTTTTTTTCCATTTTGATATGTGCTAATTATTTATGTATGTTTTTGCTTACGTTTTGCACCTCGCTGCTTAACTCGTCCACTCTCTTATGCTCACACGCTCTCTCTTTCTCTCTCTCAATGTGGTTCTCTGTTAGTGCTAAGCAATTGACGTTAAGCACTTTTCAATGTTTGCAACAATATCGAGAATGAGAATTGTAATAACATGAGAATTAATTAATATCTTGGCTTTTAAGAGTTTTTCCCCCATAGCAAATGTGTATTTTTGTAGTTCTGTGTGTGCTTTGTAAATAAATGTTTTATAGCATTTGTATGTAAATATTTTGCAAATGGATTGCTTGCAATTTAAATGCGTGACTGGTAGACAAAATATACCGTTGTGTATATTTTGTAGCACATTTTAATTAAAGCACACTTAAAATGTAAACACAGCAGGCACACAGACACATACACTCGCACACACACAAATATTCAAAGGGCCTCTGCTAAGCAATCAAGCAATGAGAGCTTTCCGCTCGGTAACTCTCTATTCACCTTGCTCTCACTTTATGTTAATCAGCTTTTAAGTCTCGTCTGCGTGGCATTCAGTGATCATTTAACAGCAGCCGCACGTGTTAAGCTTCAAAACTTAACTTGCAGAAGTAGTCCGTAAAATACTTAAGTTGTGTCGCGCAGCCTGTGCAATAATTACGAACACACACACACACACACACACAGGCGTAATCACGCTTGGCTATGCAAGGCACAGACCGCAATACATGTGTATGACATAATACAAATTTCCCCGTTATTTGCTTTATTGTTGTTCTTGTTCTTGTTGGGTTGTCTACGGCGCCAGGCGATGCGTCGGCTTCTCCATTAAAGTACAAACCCTCTCCCCTACCTTCAAACCACCACACCCACAATCGTATTTGCATTCGCTTTCGCATTCACATTCGCATTTGCTGTGCAAAATCCAGTTCTGAGTGCAATTCTGTGGTTGCTGTTATTACAAAGCATTTTAAAAGCGCTGTGTGCGAGCGTGACAGACTGCTTATTACCGCACTTGATGGCGCTGCAGATTTTGTTGTTGTTGATATTATTTTGTGTACTTTACTGTTGCTTTTGTAGCTTTCGTTGTTGTTGTTTGGGATTGCACATTGACGTAATAACGGGGGGATAAAGTTGAATTCAATATTGAGGAATGGTTAAAAACAAATATTAAGCGAAGCGGATTATTTACTGCTTTTTTTGCTGCTAATTATGGAGAATCGGTTAAAGTTCTGAACAAATCTTTGTAAGATGCTGAATAAAAAGATTGTCAGAAGTATTTGCTAATTACTAATTGCAAATTGCTTAGAATATACATTTTCGCATCTTGGCGATAACTGTACTTAATGTATTTTATCACGCCACTTGAGTCCGTCCCAGTGTCCCCGAGTCAGTCTATGAGCTTTGACCTCAGCGCCTGACTCAATCTAATCGTACAACAGCTTTTCTAAAGCTGCCAGACGCGTGCCAAGGCTTTCTTGCCGCAGTCTGGAATATTTTTGGTGTCATAAGTGTGGAAGAGATTAAATAGATTAGTGGACAAAGCATGCTGGATGACAAACAGATCATAATTTTTGGCACGCTCTTCCTGCGATAAGTGTGCGAGCATCGCTCGTGATCACTTGCAGTTCATAGTAATAAATGTGCCAATTTTTCCATTTTGATTGCGGGAGAGACAGACAGATGTTATCAGGGCAAGTGAACGGGGCCAGTCACGTCACGAATATTCCATTCCCACTGCGACAAATGTGAATGCGACCATGTGATCTGATTGCCAAGCCAGCAACAAATAAAAAAAAAACGACAGCTACGCAGAGAGAGAGAGAGAGAGAGCGCAAATTTGGCGCTCGCAAGCTTTTGTGCTGAAGGTTTAGCATAGGCTTTACTGATCAGTTGAATTCCCTTTTTCCTCTTTTGACTTTGTACTTTTAGTGGAACTGTTTACCAGCAAGCTTATCGATAAGGTGGGCGTGGCTAGTAATGTTAAAGTATGCGTAACATTTTCTACACTCGCAAATTGCAAAGCTCCGATTCCCAAGGGTGTTTCATAATTGGCGAATTTTTGCAATTGCTGCCGACGTTAAGCGAAATAAACACAACAATCTTATAAGCTAATTATAGTTGTTTTTTTATTTGCTGAGCGACTCTTTCGTCAGCCACTAGTCAACTTTATTTGCGGACCCCAGCAAAAATAATCAGAAGAGTAAATATTTATAGTCGCGTGATAATGATAAGCGCTGAAGATGACGGTGCGCTTTGACTTTAGAATAATTTTTTTTCTTTGGTGGGTGGCGACAATTGGCCGCGTCAATTTGAGGGCAAAAGCTTCAAATTTAGTTGGCAACTGCTTGAAGAACTGTCCAACAGTTTATCGAGTTGCGGCGTCTTTATAATTAGTCTGATATCAAAAGCCATAAAAAGCCGCAGCGAATGGAGGCCATTGATAACCAGGTCAGTCGTCTATCAATCACAGGTATTCAGCAGGGTATTCAGGTATTCAGTAGGGGAGGAGGTAAGTCTCAAATAGACTTCGGACTAATAAGTAACAATTTGTCAAAATCTGAGCTAAGCTAATCAATTTTATTATGGTCCACTTTGTGTACATACAGAAATGATGAAATTAAATTACTATATTAAATACAATACAATTATATTAAAATATTTGAGTTGCGAGCTTTTGAGTTGAGCTTAAAAGCTTTAGCTGGTCGTTACAATGACAACTTCAATCGTATTCTCCCCAACCTTCACTCTGTCTCTGTCTTCCTCTCTCTCTCTCCCTCTCTTGCAGCTTATCTGTTATTATTTTTTAATATCCCACCCATTTAACTGTTCAATTCGCTTCAGCAAAGTACAAAAAAAAAGCCAAAGTCAAATACTTTGTCACATGGTTTGGCAATTGGGGGCTTAATTAACGCACACACAGAAACATATAATTCACTCTCTCACACAGACACTCACACACAAGTCCGTTGACGCAATAATTGTGCATGTATGTGTGTAAACAAATCACACACACACACACACAACACGCTGCACGTGTTTTGATGCGGAGGAATAATGAAAGCAGAATCTGAATGAGTAAGCTTCTGTGATTGTTGTTGTTGTTGTGGGGGCGGCAAAACTCACCTCTAATTGATAAATCCATAATGTTCTCACGCTCTCTTTCCGCTGCGCTGCTGCTGCTGTTGCTGCTGCTGCTGCGACTGCTTGTACCGGCAGACATGACGTTTGTTATTCTCCACACTCAATGCGCAAAAGTGTTTCGCTCACAGAGCAAATGACAACAACTACTTAGCAATAGAACGCTACAGTTGTAAAGGCGCCGAAGCAGTTGTAAAATGAAGACCACAATTATGTTCACAACGATCAAAGCGAGAGCAGCGCTGCTAATGCCTCAGCTAAGCACTGCTGCTGCTGTTGGGGGGATAGTTTCAGTCACGTGGTCTCGCTACGTCACTGCTGGAGTGAAGGAGAGTGAGCGCTGTTTTTAATGTTAAACATTTTCCAAAGTGTGAGCGAGAGAGAGGGAGAGCGTAAGAGAGAGCGAACTAAATCCGTTAGTAGTACAAAATTATCAGCAGTGCCGGCGCACAGCAGTCATCTCGCTCGCACCATCGCTGGCATTATATAAGGCTTATGTAATTGAGAAAGAACAAGGCATGCGCAACAAAAATAGATACGACGATATTTTGATGGGATTTTATGTATATAGCAAGCAATTGGCGCTGCTTAGCTGCTTGGGCGGATGAGCAATCTTTGCGATCTCGATCGGTCTATTTTTGGTAATGCGCAGCACACAAATGAGTTCCTAGTGCCGACTCAAGTTGCAACAGGATGGCAGATAAGCATGCAATAATAAATTAAAACAAAACTAGTGCAAAACAAGAGAAACAGCCTTGAGCAACTACTGACAAAAGCTCAAATGACATTTGAATTTCAGTTGTCAGTTTGAGTTGAGTTGTTGTCGTCGAATAGCAAAACAAAACAAACAAGCGACTGCCGCACAATCAATTTGATTGGCAAACTGTCCGCCTATCTGGATTCGGGGATTTGTGAGGGGATTATGTTTGCGACACTGGCATTAGTTGCGATATTGAAAAAAGCTTGCCCATATGCAGACTACGCACATGTAACTTAATACAATATGTCGCAAATTGTAGAAGAATACACTTCACTAATTGCTGCTTTGTTTGACAATTCGTTATGTTATTTAGGCAGCTGGCAGAGTTGCTATACCCACAGGACATTAATATATTGTTATAGATTTTGGTAGTTTAAAGTGATTGCTTGTGCTTAAAACGTTTTATGAGGCATATTTTTAGGAGTAGATCATTTAAATTGAATAGCATTGATTTTTGTTGCATACTTTTACGCGTGTGACGTATACGCTGTTAAGTACAACAGATCTTTTGAGCATAACATGATGTTTGTTAACATAACAGAGAGTGTGCAATAACAGCGTTGAATTTCACACTCTATTTGAATCTCGGCGTGCATTTAACTTGTTTGCATGGATGCTGCCCGTTAATAGCTTATATTTATGTATATTTCTATAAAAAAAATCAAAACTATAAGAAACAATATCAGACGCTCTTGCATAAGTAGCTCTCTTTTTCTCTTCGAATTATTACCAATTAGCTGCTGAGCAACAGCCAGTAACATAGCGCTGTTAACTTAACTAGAGTTTGAGTAGCGTCGCTGCAAATCGTCGCCTGTTTAGCTTGCCCGCTCATTCTCTCGAAGAAAGCTGATCGTGACGGTCGTGTTTGTTGTGCGTTGCAGTTGAGTGATTTCTTGCCGTGAGCGCGCGCGTATTCAATTTTCGTTGTTGAAATTGATGTTGATTAAAAAGTGCCAGCCAAATATATAATTGAAATAGTAAATTGAAATTGAATGATAAAGAAACAAGCTTGCATTCGAAGAAAAAAACCAACTTGTGTGTGTGTAAGTGATTTTGTGTGTGTGCGTGACAGTGTGTGTGTGTGTGCTGTGAGCGTTCGTGAAAAAATGCACTAAACAAGAAATCAACGGAAATTAGCGAAAACAACAACAACAGCAACAACAATGCTAAACTAAAAGGCGCTCAAAACCAAAATCAGAAGTAAAACACAACTTAAAATTCCGGATTTGTGTGCAAAGCAAGAAAATGCAAAACACGATGCAAACTTTAGCCGCTGTCGGCGCTGCTGGTGCTGCTTCTGCTGCTGCGGAGGCGCCAGACTTTGATTTCCAGATGCCGTGTCGCTATTTCAAAAGTTCTTTTGCGCGTTCGCTTTCGCTGAACAACAACAACAACAATAACAGCATTTCTTTAACGTTGGCCAAGAAGTCGCCGCAGATTGAGGCCAAGCAGCAGCAACAACAACAACAACAGGAGTCGGCACAGGAATCACCCTGTTTAACGCCGCCGCCAGCGTTGCCCGCGCGGCGTCACACATCAGCCAGCAACAACAACAACAACAACTGTTTTACACATTTCAACGCAGCGCCGGCTAATCAGCTGCAACAACAACAGCAACAACTGCAACAACTACAACGGAATCTTAACTTGGCCGTCAGTTGGTCAATGCAGGTTCGTAACTTTTTATGCTTTCATTCAATGGCATCGTCTACAGCTTCTGCTTCTTCTTCTCCTTCATGTGTTGCACTTTTTTGATATGCCCTGTATTTAAGTGAAGTTGTTTAGCGGGTGTATTCACTACAATTACTACAACTACATAAGAGAATGTTATACTTTATATTAATGAGCAAGAAAGAGAAGAGTATTTGAACTGTCTAAGCTACAATAATAACAGTGTGCGCAGCGTATCTGTTAGCCGAGCATGCCCAATTAAAGATCCCTCACTTTGGTGTTTGTATTTGTGATAAAAGTTGCCTTCGCAAAAAGTTTAGTTTCCTTATTGGAGCAACTGGATATTTATGTCACCTTGTTTTGTCTCCTTCCCTCTCCCTCTCTCTCTTCGCTCTCTTCGTCGCTGACTCTGTCGCCGTCGCTGCTTTGCCTTGTATAGCAGCATGTAGCCTTGACAGCTACAAGCAGCGACGCAGCAGCAGGACTGAGAAAGCTTCAAAGCTGTAGTCTCTTCGTCACGCTGGCCGTATTATGACAAACTATTTTTTTAAGGTCAACTTGATTTATGTGCGAACAATTTATGGCTGACAATTTATGTGCGATGTGTGCGAATATATATATATGTGTGTGTGTGTGTGTGCTTAGAGAGCCGTTCGATCCATGTGAGAGCTTATGCAAAAGTATGCTAAAAATACTCCCACTCAGCGGGTGGTCAAAAAATTAAGTAGCAATTTGAAGCGCTTCCAATTAATCTCTTTACCAAAAAGAGCTTTTCATTATGCGTTTTTCTCATGCATATTTGATGTGCAGAAGAAGAAGAATAGTTAATAGTTATTTATAGTTTTTATAGCTAGTCATCAAGCATAATTGACCTGTTTAGTTAAAGTTTTCAACATTTAATGTTCGTTTTTTTTCTTATTCTTATTCTCAGTCGTCATTATATGGCATTATACTGTCTCTTAAAAGTAAACGTTCGCGTGTTCTACTTGTCTAACTCGAGGCTCAGTTTTTTAGGCCCAAAACAAATTACGTCAATTAGCCTAAATGTCAATTTGGTAAGAGCAAATAAAAAAAAAAAAGAGACGAAGAAGAAGAAAAATACAAATCGCATGACTTATTTTGGTCATGGTCTGAAACATACTGCAAAATGATGACATTTGATAGGATAATCTTTAAGCTCCACGCACTCTGGCGACATTTGTGATTATAAAACGGCGACGGCCCAAAAGATGGCGCCAGCTCTTTGTGCACTCGGCGAAAATCGAAAACTTGGAGTTTAACAAAATTACTTAACTTTTGGCTTATTTTTTTTTTGTTTATTAAACTTTTCTAAATTTGAGCAGCAAAGTTTTTCAACATTTTCGAAAAGTGTTTTACTTGCTACTTGGTTATATATATGAATATATATTATTTTGCTCAGTGTTGTTGGATAAACTGAACTTCGCCGGTCAAAGCTGATTTTGCGTCTGTTTAATCCAGCTGTTGCCGGCGGTGGTTGTTGTTGTTGTTGTTGTTGTTGTACTCGCCAAGCAGCAGTGATGCGTCGCCACTTTTGCTGGGACAGCAGCTGGCAGCGGCGACGATGCAACGCTTGCAAGGCTGCCTGCCACATCGTTGCAACATTACGACGCTTGCGACGCTTGCGGTTTTTGCCAATCGAAAGTGAAAATCCAAACGAAATGCAATGAACTCTTGGGCATGCCAATGCGGCCAAACAACTCCTACACAGAGCTACTAGCTAAGAGACAAGCAGCCAGGGGGGTGAAGTGGGGTTGAGGGTGCTGTATGCGTTGGCAACAGTTGGCAAAAGACTCAGCGAAAGCGTCAGCAGCTGCGTTAGAAAAATTCAAATTATGCACCATTGAAGTGTTGCCAAGAGACCAACAACAGCAACAACAACCAAAGCAACAACAAAGAGTATCGAGTGACAATCATAAAGAAAACCAAACAAAATAATAAGCTGCAATTGTTGCTATTGTCATTGTTGTTGTTGCTTTTACCCATTACGTTTTTAACGGCATCTATTAAAGCCACAAATCTTGGCGACATTTCGTAATGACGTAAAACTTTGGCGCGCATATAATATTACAAGTCACACAGTCACAGAGAGAGAGAGGGAGAGTGCGAGTGAGATAACAATAGAGGAAGAGAAAGAGAGAGGGAGAGAGAGAGAGAGAGAGAGCTGTATGCATGCAAAGAAAAATGAGTTTTAGGCTGCCAGGCTTTAACAATAGGCCATCAAATTGCTGTCAGCTGTAAATAAATTGCACAGCTTTTTGTTTTGTTTCCTATTTTCCAGTTCATTTGCATATTTAAACACCTAACCCCCCAGCCCAGCCCAGCCCACCCCACCCCACTTCCCCCACCCCCCACAGCTCAACGAATTATTGGAATTATGTTTGACCTTTGCCTTGCTTTTGCCTTTGCCATTTGCAAAGCCATCTTAATGATTGAGAAAGGCGTTAACATAGCATAAATAACAACAAAATTCTATGGCTAATTACGCAGCCTAATCACTGAAAGCCTTGGTAACAACCCCCCTCCCCTCCTCTCACCTGCTCAGCCTATAAGCAAATGAAGTTTGCCTCAGAATTGGGTTTTTGGTAACGGAAAAACTTAGCTGCATATGTTTTTTTCCTTCTTGATTTGTAGTTTTAGTCATGGCCACGAAAAACAGCAGGGGAAAACGGCTAATATGTTGTCGAATATTCAAGGGCATTACACTATTTAAAGCTCTTTTTTTTAAGGCTTTCCAAATATTTACATGATAAATTGGAAATTGTTTATGCGCACAGCTCTCAAGTGTTAAACAACGAAAAACATAAAACTCGCATTCAAACAAAAAGAGAAAAAAAATTATACATTTTCTACAAATATTCATTGGAGGTGTTCAAAATGGATTTTTAACGAGCATTAAAAGTGATAGATGGATCAGAAATAATATAAACAAGCTTGCAAAGTTCTTAAAAACAGAATTTTTGAGAATTCCAGAGAATATTAAAAATCGAATGAGATTTTTAGTTGATTGCAATTTTCGCCGAATTTTTAAAGATATAAATCAATAAGTGTAAAAATTACTTATTGATGTTTATATAATGTATTGTAACTAGGGCTTTGTTTTGATTGGAATATTTCCAACAATTTTACAAAGTTATTTCCATATTCAGCATAATTTATTATATTTACATTTTTAACACTTTTTTGTTGTTGTATTTTTCCAGTATTTAGAAATATATAAAACAGATGAATATTGTTGAAAGATTTCGAGCATTTAAATGAGAAATGCTCGGAATCTTTCAACAACCTTTCAAAGCTATTTCAATATTTGTACTTGCTTCCTCTTTCCACACTAAAAGTCACTTTAGAATTACAGAAAAAAGAGGAAAGAAGAAGAAAGAAAAACAAACGCTGGCACTTCGTGAAAAGCGCACATCAAATCCCTATTCCAATCATTATGACTATATATATACATATATACATGTATGTATATATGTAGTTGCTGTGAGATATCGTACTTTGCAAGTGGAAAAATATGCCACATTATGGGGGCGTGGCACTTGCCTGCAGGTTTAAAGGCGCATGGAAATAAATGTGACTGTTGATTTTTGCACATTTTTAGCTGCAGGGCAGCATCAGATGGGGCAGGTTGAAGATGGGGGGATGGGGCATGTGTTCAGGGGCACAAAAGGGAAGGAGTTGGAATACAAATTTGGACAGGTCCCACATAAATTTATCGAATAAAACGGCGCATTTGCTCAGCTGGCACTGTCTGGCAAGTGCTATATTTATTTATAGCCCAAAACTTGCTGCGAAAAAATAGTTTTTATGTCTATATACAAGGAGGGGAGAAATGCATCAAAATGCTAGATAAATGGAAATGGGTTAACTCGGTCGCCAGCCTGATGTTTAATTCATGGATTTTGCAATGCAGGAAAATGTTGTGAATGGATAAAAAAAAACTAGCAAAAATTTAAGAAAATCAAGAGAGAGAGAGAGAAAGGGGGAGAGAGGAAGGCAGCAAAATAGCATAACAATTTAGATTTTCATTGAATAAGAGGCTCGTCTCGACAATTGCAACATGTGGCGAGCGAAATGTGCAGCAACTGTCAAGGCAATTTGTGCTGCAACGGTTCCAACAAATTCCCCCCGCAAAACGCAACATACAAAAATGCAGTCGCAGGTATTTAACAAGTGGTGCATGCCTCAGCTAAACGTAATTAAAAACCAACAAAACAAGTCGGCAATTTAATTGTTTGAATTTGTGAAGTTATTTCGATAGGAGTCGCCATCAATGGAGCCACCATCTCGATGAAATCGAGTACAGTTAACTGCCGGCATTTTATGGCACGCATGCAACATGTTGAAAGCCACGCGCTTGCAACACTCTATCAAAGTGTTATCATTTGGATTAACGCGGAAAAATCATATAAACCTACCAAATCACAAAAACCTGGCCGAATTTGGATTACAAATGCCTGATAGCTTTTAAGATACCAATTGATATTTATCATATCAAATCGTTTCATAAAAAAAAAAAAAATTAATCCATTAACATTTTTTTAACATTTGTTTTTATTAAATCTGTCCAAATTATTACTTTTGATTTAAATATGTTGAATGTGTATTGCAAAGCCTGACAGATCTCTCAGTTACTATATCACTTATCAAATAAAACAAAATAAATCCATTTCTCAGCTACAATTTCCTGAAGTGAACTTTTTCTTTTTGCGTTTTGCTTTTAACAAACAATTTGTTGCTGTCAATTTCGTAGATTGAAAGAATGCACTTAAAAGCCAAAGAAAGCCGTTGCCAACACAGCGGCTAATTAACTGAAGTATTTACCACACACACACACATATATATATATATATATCTCAGCCTTGATCAGCGTTGGGTGCTTACAACCCGTTTGGGGCGTTTTTGGGCCTTGACTGTGTGAAATCGTCGCCAGCTCATTAGGCAATTGCCATACCGGAAACTATTTGGCCATAATATTTGGT